AGGGATCTGGTAGTGGTGCAGCTGGTAGAGTGGAACTGGTAGGTGGTGGCAGGCTAGTGTAGGTGCAGCTGGTAGTAGTGGAACTGGTAGTGGTGCAGCTGGTAGTAGTGGAACTGGTAGTGGTGCAGCTGGTAGTGGTGCAGCTGGTAGTAGTGGAACTGGTAGTGGTGCAGCTGGTAGTAGTGGAACTGGTAGTGGTGCAGCTGTGTAGTAGTGGGAACTGGTTAGTGGTGCAGCTGGTAGTAGTGGAACTGGTAGTGGTGCAGCTGGTAGTAGTGGAACTGGTAGTGGTGCAGCTGGTAGTAGTGGAACTGGTAGTGGTGCAGCTGTAGTAGTGGAACTGGTAGTGGTGCAGCGGTAGTGTGAACTGGTAAGGATGGGAACTGGTAGTGGTGCAGCTAGGTAGTGGTGCAGCTGTTGGGAACTGTAGTGTGAACTGGTAGTGGTGCAGCTGGTAGTAGTGGAACTGGTAGTGGTGCAGCTGGTAGTAGTGGAACTGGTAGTGGTGCAGCTGGTAGTGGTGGAACTGGTATTGTGCTGTTGTGGACTGTAGTGGGAGTGGTAGTGTGCAGTGGTGTAACTGGTAGTGGTGCAGCTATGGTGGATGTAGTGTGGAACTGGTAGTGGTGCAGCTGGTAGTATGAACTGTAGTGGTGCAGTGTAGTAGTGAACTGGTAGTGGTGCAGCTGGTAGTAGTGGAACTGGTAGTGGTTGAGCTGGTAGTGGTGGACTGGTAGTGGTAGCGTAGTGGAACTGGTAGTGGTGGCGATGGCTGGTTGTGGTGATGGTAGTGGTGCAGCTGGTAGTAGTGGAACTGGTAGTGGTGCAGCTGGTAGAGTGGATATGGTAGTGTGCAGCTGGTCAGTGTGGAACTGGTAGTGGTGCTGGCATGCTTGGTTAGTGTAGTGGAACTGTAGTGGTGCAGCTGGTAGTGGTGCAGCTGGTAGTAGTGGAACTGGTAGTGGTGCAGCTGGTAGTAGTGGAACTGGTAGTGTGAGTGAGTGTGCAGCTGGTAGTGACTGTAGTGGTGCAGCTGGTAGAGTGACTGGTAGTGTGCAGCTGGTAGTGTGCAGCTGGTAGGTGGTGGCAGCTGGTAGTAGTGGATGGTAGTGCAGTGCTGTAGTGGTGCAGCTGTAGTGGAACTGGTAGTGGTGCAGCTGGTAGTGTGGAACTGGTAGTGGTGCACGTAGCTGGTAGATGGAACTGGTAGTGGTGCAGCTGGTAGTGGACTGAGTGCAGCTGGTAGTAGTGGAACTGGTAGTGGTGCAGCTGGTAGTAGTGGAACTGGTAGTGGTGCAGCTGGTAGTGTGGAACTGGTAGTGGCGTGCATGACTGGTAGTGGTGCGTGGTAGTATGGAATGGTAGTGAGTGGAACTGGTAGTGGTGCAGCTGGTAGTAGTGGAACTGGTAGTGGTGCAGCTGGTAGTAGTGGAACTGGTAGTGGTGCAGCTGGTAGTAGTGGAACTGGTAGTGGTGAGTGGTTTGTGGCAACTGTGGTAGTGGTGAGACTGGTGTAGTTGGAATGGTAGTGGTGCACTGGTAGTGGTGCAGCTGGTAGTAGTGGAACTGGTAGTGGTGCAGCTGGTAGTGTGGAACTGGTAGTGGTGCAGCTGGTAGTGGTGCAGCTGGTAGTAGTGGAACTGGTAGTGGTGCAGCTGGTAGTGGTGCAGCTGGTAGTAGTGGAACTGGTAGTGGTGCAGCTGGTAGTAGTGGAACTGGTAGTGGTGCAGCTGGTAGTAGTGGAACTGGTAGTGGTGCAGCTGGTAGTGGTGCAGCTGGTAGTAGTGGAACTGGTAGTGGTGCAGCTGGTAGTAACGTAGTGGTAATTGGTAGTGTGGTGCAGCTGGTAGTGTGGCTAGTTGTGGAAGCTGGTAGTGGTGCAGCTGGTAGCTAGTGGAACTGGTAGTGGTGCAGCTGGTAGTAGTGGAACTGGTAGTGGTGCAGCTGGTAGTAGTGGAACTGGTAGTGGTGCAGCTGGTAGTAGTGGAACTGGTAGTGGTGCAGCTGGTAGTAGTGGAACTGGTAGTGGTGCAGCTGGTAGTGGTGCAGCTGGTAGTAGTGGAACTGGTAGTGGTTGCAGCTGGTAATGACTGTATGTGCAGCTGTAGTGAACTGGTAGTGGTGCAGCTGGTAGTAGTGGAACTGTGTAGTGGGCAACTGGTAGTGGTGCAGCTGGTAGTGGTGGACTGGTAGTGGTGCGGTAGTGCAGCTGGTAGTGTGAGGGTGTGAACTGGTAGTGGTGCAGCTGGTAGTAGTGGAACTGGTAGTGGTGCAGCTGGTAGTAGTGAACTGGTAGGTGCAGCTGGTTTGTGGTGCAGTGGTAGCAGTGGTTATGAACTGGTAGTGGTGCAGTTTGGTAGTAGTGGAACTGGTAGTGGTGCAGTGTGGTAGTGGAACTGGTAGTGGTGCAGTGGTAGATGGTGCGTGATGTGGTGCAGCTGGTAGTAGTGGAACTGGTAGTGGTGCAGCTGGTAGTAGTGGAACTGGTAGTGGTGCAGCTGGTAGTAGTGCAGCTGGTAGTGGTGCAATGGTGTAGTGGAACTGGTAGTGGTGCAGCTGGTGGGTAGTGTAATGTAGTGGGAACTGGTAGTGGTGGCAGCTGGTAGTGTAGTGGTAGTGGTGAGCTGGTATGGTGGTTGGGCAGCTGGTAGTAGTGGACTGGTAGTGGTGCAGCTGGTATAGTGGAATGGTAGTGGTGGCTGGTAGTAGTGGAACTGGTATGGTGCGCTTGGTGTGGTAGTGGATGAGTATGTAGTGGACTGGTAGTGGTGCAGCTGGTAGTGGTGCAGCTGGTAGTAGTGGAACTGGTAGTGGTGCAGCTGGTAGTAGTGGAACTGGTAGTGGTGCAGCTGGTAGTAGTGGAACTGGTAGTGGTGCAGCTGGTAGTAGTGGAACTGGTAGTGGTGCGGTAGTGGTGCACTGGTAGTGTGCAGCTGGTAGTGGTGCAGCTGGTAGTGGTGGACACTGGTAGTGGTGCACTGGTAGTTCGTATGTGTGCAGCTGTAGGTAACTGTTAATGTTTGTGGTGGTCAGCTGGTAGTAGTGGAACTGGTAGTGGTGAGCTGGTGTGGTTGTGTGGTACTGGTAGTGGTGCAGCTGGTGTAGTGGATGTAGTGGTGAGTGGTAGTGGTGGTGGAGTAGGGAAGGTGTGGTGCAGCTGGTAGTAGTGGAACTGGTAGTGGTGCAGCTGGTTAGTGGTGGAGCTGGTAGTTGGTGTGCTGGAGTGGTGGCTGGTAGTAGTGGAACTGGTGGTGAGTGGGGTGTGCGCTGTGGTGGTAGTGGTGGAACTGGTAGTGGTGCAGCTGGTAGTATGTGGGAACTGGTAGTGGTGCGCTGGTAGTAGTGGGACTGGTAGTGGTGCAGCTGGTAGTGTGAGCTGGTGGTGATGGTGGTGCAGCTGGTAGTGGTGAGTGGGTGTGGTGCAGCTGGTGTAGTGGAACTGTTGTCTGGTAGTGGTGCAGCTGGTAGTAGTGGAACTGGTAGTGGTGACTAGCTGGTAGTGGTGAGCTGGTTGGATGGTGGTGCAGCTGGTAGTAGGTGGATCTGGTAGTGGTGCAGTGGTTAGTGTGGCTGGTGTAGTGGAACTGGTAGTGGTGCAGCTGGTGTGGTGGAGTGGTGGTAGTGGTGGTGAGTGGTAGTTGTGGAATGGTAGGTGGTGAGCTGGTAGTGGTGAGCTGGTATTGTGTGGTGCAGTGGTGAGTGGGTGGTAGTGGTGAGTTGGTAGTGGTGCAGTGGTAGTAGTGGAATGGTAGTGGTGCATGCTGGTAGTAGTGGATGGTGTGGTGAGCTGGTAGTAGTGGAATGGTAGTGGTGAGCTGGTGTGTGGTGAGTGGTAGTATGTGCTGTAGTGTGAGTGGTAGGGTGAGCTGGTGGTGGTGCAGTGGTAGGTGAGGTGGAGACTGGATGTAGGTGCAAGTGTACGTAGTGGATGGTAGTGGTGGCAGCTGGGTAGTAGGGGTTGGAACTGGTAGTGGTGCAGTGGGTAGTGTGTGCAGCTGGTAGGTGGAACTGGGTGGTGCGTGTGTCAGTGGTGAGTGGTGTGAGCTGGTGTGTGTGCAGCTGGTAGTCATGGAACTGGTGGTGGTGCTAGCTGGTGTAGTGAACTGGTAGTGGATGGGTGGCGTGGTGAGTGGTGGCTGGTAGTGTTGTAGTGGTGGCGTGGTAGTAGTGGAACTGGTGTGGTGGGGGCCTGTGCGTCTGGTGTAGGGCTGGTAGTGGTGCAGTGGTAGTAGTGGTAACTGGTAGTGGTGAGCTGGTAGTGGTGACTGAGTTTAGAGTGGGAGATGGTAAGTGGTGTGAATGGGTAGTGGTGAGTGGTGTGGTGACTGGTGATGGTGCGCTGTGTAGTAGTGGAATGGTAGTGTTGACTTGCAGTGGAACTGGTGAGTGGTTGCAGTGGTAGGGTGAGTTGGTTGAGTGGCTGGTGTGGTGAGCTGGTGCAGTGGTACACGGTACGGATGACAGCTGGTAGTGGTGCAGCTGGTGCAGTGACTGGTGTGGTGAGCTGGTAGTGGTGCAGTACATCATGGAGGTCCAGTGTCGACCGGTCAGTGGTGCAGCTGTGTGGTAGTGGAAGTGTTTCTGGTAGTGGTGTCGTGGTGTGGTGGTGGTAGGTGGTGGTAGTTGGTGGTGGTGGTGGTGATGGTGTGGGTGGTGGATGTGGTGGTGGTGGTAGGTGGTGGTGGTGGTGGTGGTGTGGTGGTGGGGTGGTGGTGGTGGATGGTGGTTGGTGGTGGTGGTGGTGGTGGTTGGTGGTGGTGGTGGTGGTAGGTGGTGGTGGTGGTGTGGTGGTGGTGGTGGTAGGTGGTGGTGGTGGTGGTGGTGGTGGTGGTGGTGGTGAGCTGGTGGTGGATGGTGTGGTATGTGGTGGTGATGGTGTGGCGGTGAGTTGTGGTGGTGGTGGTGGTGTGGTGGTAGGTGGTGATGGTGGTGGTGGTGACGGTGGTGGCAGCAGAGGTCGGAGCACTGAGGCACTGTTTCAGGTGCCAAGATTTTCCCTGTGGTGAGGGTCGGCAGCGTGTTGGAGTGCCGGCGGTGATGCCCACACCGGCCGCTGTGCCCAGTTGGCGCTTTACTCTGGCACCTCATACCCACGGAACATGTGACACCGTCCGTGGCCCTCCCGTGGCATCGTCTGTGGCCCTCCCGTGGCATCGTCCGTGGCCCTCCCGTGGTATCGTCCGTGGCCTTTTCCCTGCGTCTCAACTGGTGGAGGCCTTAGACCTAAGTCCTCAAGGGATTCAACACCAAGATGCGAATTTGGGACAGTTGAAGATCTTGCTAGCCGAACAGTGTTTCTGTGAACCAACAGTGTTTTTGTAGTTGCTGAAGCCGATGTGTTTAGGTGTATTTCGTACGAGGTGTTGTGACGGGGGGAGGCAGGGAGCCATGTTTGTTCGTGGCAGCTAGAGGTTGGAAGTGAGGGCTATTGGATAAGTCTTCCCTGAGAGTGAGGGGAGAGCGAGGGATACTCGTATCTCTAAAGAGGGAGAGGAAAAGAAAGAAAAAAGCAGGAAGTGATTAGCCCGGGTAAAAAATAGCGTGAGGTTGGTTACTGTGATAGCCTGAGAACTGTTGAGACTCAGGGGAAAAATAAAAAAGTTTGCCCTGCACGTGGAGGGTCGCCAGTGTTGCTGTGAGAGGGACTTTTGTTTGAGCTTCCGGTGAGAAGACATCACTGCCAGTGTCACCACCAGTGTCACCACCACCGCCACCATGACGACCTTCTGTCGCATCACCGGTTGCGCTCGCAACCTGCCCAAGCCTTGTTACTTCCCGCTGTTGCCGCCCATCACTCCCGCCGAGGCTAAAAAACTCTGTCGAATCACCGGCAAGGCGTCAGAAATACACAGCTACTCACCCATTATCGCCTTCGGTAAGCCAGTTCGCTTCGACGGCACAGAAGGATGCAAAATTACCAAACACGAGAGTCTAGTCTACGTGCGTCCTGTGTTTGAGAAAACTAAGGAAAATGAGAAATCTTATTCCTATCTAGAAAGCCTTCTCAAGAAGATGAAAGGTAAACTTAAGAAACGACCCGAAGGTGAGCTGGAGTTTGTTTATCATCTTTCAGAGCAGAAGACTAACTTGATAGTGCCTTGTGAGATGGAGGAAGCTATCAGGACGGGGGAGCTGGAGGCAGTCTCCATGAGCAAGGATAGCAAGTTTGTCAATGTCAAGATCAAACAAGGACGTATTATCAAGATGAATCTCAGGGTCATTCAGTTCTCCGAGATTAACGAGAGAAATGATCTGTTTTATGGGCGCGGGCAAAACAAGGATGTTCTGGAGGAGCAACAGGAGATCCTCAATGAGAGGAACAAGAGGAAAGCCAACACCATGGCCAGAAAACAGCGTTTCGAAGCTCTCGATGCTAAAGCCGAGGCAGACGAACTGAGAGATACTGTGAGACCTCCTTACAACAAACCCAGAGTCAAGTTCAATGCAAAACAACGAGCAGAGAAACTAGCCAGGATGGAGGCGATGATGAGGGAACAGGCAACAAACAGGGCCATTCTCCTACCTAAGCTTGATACTAAAAAGATGCAAGACGAACAATTGCAGTACGAGAGGATGCTTGCGGACATCATGAAGGCTCAGGTGTCCTCAATTAACGTAACAGTCCTTGCATCGGGCTTAGACTGGCACGCAGCGAACGAGGCCGAGAATGCCGGCTTTGACTGGGACAGTTTCCCGCACGAGGAATGGATCGATCCAGTTGAGATCGTGGAGACACAAGTGGCAAAAGAAGAAGTACTGATGAGGGAAGATGTGACCAACCTTGAAATTGTTGTCTCTGTGGAAACTGTCAAACCCGCGCTACCGATGCCGGAGGATGTGGCAAAGAGAATGTGTAACTTGAAGGAAGATGTCCTTAAGAAGACCGAGCATGTTACAGAGACTCTGAAGTCTGTGAGAGAAGCTGAAATAATCCCAACGTTCAGCGATATCAGCAAGATTGCAGCTGGAATTGAGACGGCGGAGGTGGGATACCTAGTCACGAAGGAGGATAAAGCCGAGTTTGTAACTAAAGTTGATTATAATGAGAATGAAAAACAGGCTGTATCCGGAGCCTTGGTTGAAGTAGATGAGAAGAAGAAATTCGTGGCAGGTCAGATCATCAAACTTGCTGATCAGGAGGCCTTTGTTGCCGGCCAGACAGTGGAGACCCTACAAGGGAAGAAGTTTGTGCCAGGTCAGACTATCATAAACAAGAATGGTGACATCAGTTTCTTGCCTGGTCAGTGTATTAAGTCACCTGATGAAAATGTAAACTTTGTTGCTGGTCAGATATTCAATAGTCCCAATGGTCCGAAGTTCGTGGCTGGTCAGGTGATGGATCGCGGCGATGGTAATTCAGTTTTTATCACCGGTCAGACAATCAATACCGAGGAGGGTCCAAAATTCAGTCCAGGCGAGGTGACGGTAGATGCGTATGGAGAGGAGCTGTTTGTGCCAGGTATGAAGATGCCCACCGTAGACGGCGAGAAGTTCGTCACGGGTCAAGCTTTCCAGACCGAAGAGGGGCTTACCTTCAAGCCAGGTCAGATAATGGACACTATCGAGGGTCCAACGTTTGTTCCCGGTAAGACCTTCGATACTCCAGAGGGTAAGAAATTCATCAAGGGTGACCTGGTGCAAGACGAGGAAGGCAAACTCAAGTTTGAGCATAGGCCCTTCGAAGTGCCCAAGATCAGCGAGTGGTTGGTAATCCCTAATAAGGAACTCCAACCTCTAGCCGTGGCTGACAGGAACGTGGCCGGATTCACCGTCAATCCCACGAACACGGACAGTATTCTGGTAGGGGAGAGATTGTATGGAGACATGGTGGAGACCCAGAAAGCGGTACAATTCTACCTCACTGGCAAAATGCCCAATGATATCTCTCCGGATTCTAAAGTCATTCCGGGTCAACTTATCGTCAATGAAGTGGATAAGAGGTTCATCCCTGGTAAACTGATGACCACTGCTGACGGTGAGAGGTTCGTGCCAGGTCAAACGGTCAACACAAGTCATGGGGAGGAGTTCATCCCAGGTCAGATTGTCGAGAGCTCAGATGGTCCAAAGTTTGTACCAGGGCAGGTCGTGATGACTTCAAAGGGTGAGAAGTTCGTACCAGGTCAGGTCATTGTGGAGGACGATGGCCCAAAATTCGTCCCAGGTCAGATCATCCAGACGAAGAATGGAGCCACCTTTATCCCTGGACAGATGATGAGTACAGATGAAGGTCAGCTCTTCGTTCCAGGTCAGTTGGTGGAGACAAACGCTGGACCCCGCTTCGTACCAGGTCAGGTCGTGGAAAGCCCTGAGGGACCGAAGTTTATCCCCGGCACCATCATTGAGACAGACGAAGGGTTGAAGTACGTTCCACCAGATGCAGACGAAATCGACGAGGACTTCCAGATCTCCTTCCAGGGCTTCGAGATCAGCGAAGAGGAATTGGCTCTTTTAATGACAAATCCCACAGACACACGTCCTCACTCCCCCATCATGAGCGAGGAGGGCCTTATAGATTCAGCCACGCTGAAGAAACTGGCCATGGATACCGTCTTTGTCCATGGCGTGACTCCAGAACCACCTCCTCCCTTGCCAGAAAAGAAGAAAAAGAAGAAAAAGGCACGAGTGCAGCTGGATGCTGTGGAGGAAGATGGAAAAGAAGAGGTTGAGGAGCCAGACGATGGGACAGATAAGGTTGACGTTTTGCTGAGATTCATCAGGGCCTCGACGAGTATGTCTCAGACGAGACGAGCTAAAGAGATGAAGAAGCTCTCCAGGCTGCTTGGAGAGCGAGAGTACGATAATATGACACTCTTGCAGGTGGATGCCATGGCCCACATCCTGTCCACAGTCAATGGCACGGGAGAGGTAGTTCGTGTGTTCTTGGGTGAGAACGAACAGCTAATTAGCGACATCGTTGACTACGTCGATTCCACCGACACGGACTCCATCAGCAGGAATGACCAGGCTAAGCGAACCCTTAGGAAAGCTGTTCAGAGAGTTGTGGCAAAATACTGCGACAAAGAGATTGATGATATCATCCACCTCCTGAACATCAATCCCGAGAATCTCCTGACTGACACACGAATCCAGGTGCTACTGACGGAGGCTGTCGGCATCGTTTGCGTCACTGGCAACGTGGAAGTCGCCGCTATGTTGGAGCGATTCATCTCGGAGCCTTCAGACCCCAACGCTCTCAGAGACAACCCAGACGTGGTCTCTGTCCTCCGCCAGTTGGTAGTTCTTCACAAAATTGCAGAACGTGACACAGACGTGGCTAAAATGCTACAGGTCCTGCAGACTAACCCCGAGGGACTGAAAGACCGGAGGAAAATCAGAGAACTACTGAAGAACGCCAACCTGCTGCTGAGACTGCCCAAAGTGGAAGGAGAAGACGTGGCGTCCTTTGACCTCCGTCACGTGGCGTCTTCAAAGGACATTCCCACCAAGATCTTTGAGCAGATCCGCGAGGACAGGAAGGAAGCCGACAAGTTCATCGATATGCTTCCTGACGAACTCTTCCGGGAGATCCTACAAGACAAGCGCTGCGGGGAGTCCTTCCTGGAGACTCTCGACTCAGAGAAGGCCAGCAAAGCTAAATCTGAGCAACACAAATTCAAAAAAGGGAAAGGGCCATTGTGATAACGAAGGACACATCAGGCTTCTTTCCCCAAAGGAGTTCGCTCGCTCCATCTGCTACGCATCGTCCCTTATCTACTGATCACAAGAAGCTTAAATTCTTTGAGCGGTCTGACCGGCAGAAACTAGCGCCGGCCAAGGTTATTGAAACCCCGGGTCATGCCATTCCACTATGCCAAAAAACCCCTCGTATGAGGTGCGTAACGCGTCACTCTCTCCTGGACGGCGCATTATCTTCAGTTCACTCTCTTCAACGCACGTCATGTTTCATCCGAGTCCCACCATTATTTTTGTCATTTTCCCTTTTTACCATTTTTGTCATCTTTACCATAGTTGCAATTAACTTATCATCACCAGGGCATTTCACTTAAATTAAATTTTTATTATTATTATTTTTTATTATTATTTAATTAACTTTTTAATTTTCATTGCACGTCTGGTTTCATCAAAATTGCCATTTCGTCAGGGTCATTCACATCGTAATAATTAGTATTATGAAGTCGTCACCCCGCCAACCCCCGACGACGAACACCACCACCACACCACCAACAACACCACCACCGCCATCAAAACCCCCCCACCAACACCACCACCAAAACAACACCACCCCCCCATCAACACCCCCACCACACCACCCCAACACAAAACCCCCCACCATCAAAACCACCACCCAAAATCAACACCACCACCACCAACATCAACACCCACCGCCACCATCACCACCAACACCCACCAACACATCACCACCACCCACCAACAACATCAAAACCACCACCACCATCAAAAACCACCATCAACCCACCACCACCATTTCCAAACCCCACCACCACCAACACAACACCACCACCACCACTACCATCAATACCCCACCACCCCAAACACCACCACCCCCATCAACACCACCACCGCCTTTAACACCACCACCAACACCACCACCAAAATCAATACCACCACCACCATCAACCCACCACCCAAAATCAACACCACCCCAAAATCAACACCACCACCGCCACCATCACCACCACCCCTCACCCTCACCCCCACCCAAAAACATCACACCACCACCACCAACAAACACAACAAACCCCCAAACCACCCCACAAAACCACCATCAACACCACCACCACCCTCAAAACCACCCCCAACTCAAAACCACCACCACCCTCAACACCACCACACCATCAAAGCCCCACCACCCCATCAACACCACCCCCCACCATCACCACACCACCACCAACAAAATCACCCCCACCCCACCCCCACCCACCACCCCCAACAACAACAACAACAACATCAACAACAACACCCCCCACCATCACACAACCCCCCACCACCCCAAAACCACCCAAAACCACCAAAATCAACACCACCACCAAAATCAACACCACCACCAACATCAAAACCACCAAAATCAACACCACCACCAACTCACACCACCACCACAACACCCCCACCAAAACAACACCCCCACCAGCATCAACACCACCACCACCATCAACACCAACCCACCCCTAACTCAACACCACCACCCTCAAATCACCACCAAAATCACACCACCACCCAACATCACACCACCACAACAAAACCACCACCAACAACATCAACACCACCACCAAAATCAACACCACCACCAACATCAACCCCACCACCCATCAACAACCACCACCCCTCAAAACCACCACCAAAACAAAACCACCACCAAAATCAACACCACCACCACCACAGCACCACCACCAAAACAAAAACACATCCAACATCAAACCCCCACCACCTCAACACCACCCCACCAACACAACACCACCACCCAAAACAACACCACCCCCAAAATCAACACCACCACCACCACCACAAAACAAAAAAACCACCACCACCAACATCAAAACCACCACCAACATCAACACCACCACCAACATCAACACCACCACCAACATCAACACCACCACCAAAAATCAACACCACCACCACCAAAATCAACACCACCACCAACATCACCACCAACAAGAACTCACCCCACCACCACCACCAACAACACACCACCCAAAAACAACACACCACCCCCACCAACAACATCACCACCACCACCCAAAACAAAACCCCCCCCCACCAACAACACCACCACCAACATCACACCACCACCCCCACCACAAAACCACCACCAACATCAACACCACCACCCCTTCAACACCACCACCACCACCAACAAACACCACCACCAACACAAACCCCCCACCAACATCAAAACCACCACCACATCAAAACCACCACCCCCCCCAACACCCCCAAAAATCAACTCACCACCACCACCAAAATCAAAACCACCCCCTAACTCAAAACCACCACCCCCAACCCACCACCCCCCCACCACCAACATCAACACCACCACCACCCCAAAAACAACATCACCACAAATCAAAACCCCCCACCAACATCAACACCCCCACCAACAAAAACCACCACCAACACCACCACCCCCACCACCACCCCCAGCATCAAACCACCAACAAACACCCCCAAAAACACCAACTCAACCCACCCCAACATCAACACACCACCACCACCAACATCACCACCCCACCACCACCACCACCAAAATCAACACCACCCCCATCAACCCACCCCACCCCCACACCACCCACCCCACCACCACCACCACCCAAACAACACCCACCACCACCACCCCCACAAAACACCACCACCACCACATCAAAACCACCACCCACCACCACCAACAACAACAACACCCCCACCACCCCACAAAACCCCCCACCAACTCAGCACCACCACCAAAAAACAACACCCCACCAACACAACACCCCCCCAACCAAACCACCCCACCACCAACCAACCCACCACCACAAAATCAACACCACCCCCAACAAACCCCCACCAACAAAAACACCACCCCAAAATCAACCCACCACCAACTCAACACCAAACCCCCAACATCCAAAAAAAAAAAAAAAAAAAAAAAAAAAAAAAAAAAAAAAAAAAAAAAAAAAAAAAAAAAAAAAAAAAAAAAAAAAAAAAAAAAAAAAAAAAAAAAAAAAAAAAAAAAAAAAAAAAAAAAAAAAAAAAAAAAAAAAAAAAAAAAAAAAAAAAAAAAAAAAAAAAAAAAAAAAAAAAAAAAAAAAAAAAAAAAAAAAAAAAAAAAAAAAAAAAAAAAAAAAAAAAAAAAAAAAAAAAAAAAAACCCCCCCCCCCCCCCCCCCCCCCCCCCCCACCTCACAACCCACCACCCCCCAAAACCACCACCAACACAACACCCCAACATAACAAAACCACCACCAACCCAACAACAAAAACACCACCACCACCACCACCACCCCAAACCCCAACAAAAACAACCCACACCAACCCCCCCAACACAACCACCCCACCACCACCCCCACACCCCCAACAACACACCACCACCAAAAACCAAAAAAACAACAAAAAACACCACCACACCCAAAAAACCACCACCAACACCAACACCCAAAAAACACCCCCAACAACAAAACACACCACCAAAAACCAAACAACAACAACATCACCACCACCCACCAAAAAAACAAAAATCACCCCACCCCACCACCAACCCAACAACAACAACATCACCACCAACACCAACAACAACAACAAAACACCCCAAAACCCCAAAAAAACAACAACAACATCACCACAACCCAACAACAACAAAAAAACATCACCCCCCCAACACCAACAACAACAACAACAAATCACCACCAACCCAACAACACAAAAACAATACCACCAAAACCAAAAACAAAACAACAACACACCCCCAAACCCCCAACAACAACAACAAAAACACACCACCAACACCAACAACAACAACAACAACTCACCACAACCCCAACAACAACAAAAACAACATCCCCACCAACCAACAACAACAACAACAACTCACCCCCACCACCAAAACCCAAACAACAACATCACCACCAACCCCACCACCACCACCCCACCACACCAACCCAAACAAAACAAAAAACAAAACCACCACCAACAACAACAACAAAAAACATCACCACCACCACCACCCCCCACCACCACCACCCCCACCCCCACCACCAAAACAACAACAACAACAACAACAACAACATCACCCCCACCCCCACCACCACCACCACCCCCCCCAAACCACACCACCACCAACAACAAAACAAAACACCCCCACCCTTACAGTAATTCCACAATCTCTCCTTCCCTGTCCTACTGTCCCCACTACGTCTACCCCCACCACATACTACCCCACCCCCCAAAACCCCCACCATCCCCCCACTCCCACACCCAAAAAACATAACCCGGATATCCGTCAAACCAAGTGAAAAAAAAAACCCAAGCATAACCCGGACAGATAAAAAAAACCGGAACGCAACAAAAACTGACAAGTGGACAGCGGAACACCGGACCACAACCAGGAAACACACACAAAGGTGCACAACACAACCCCCAAATTTTGCCTCTCACTTAAGGAAAAATTAACCCGGGGAAAATCTACAAACAACAACAAAAAACAAAAAAATATATATATATAATTTTTTAAAGTATGAAATAAAAAATAGAAACAACACAATTTTTATTATTATTATTAAATTTTATTATTTTTATTATTTTTTATTATTACACTTATTTACAAATAAAAATGTATTTTAATTGATTAATTTAAAATAGTCTTTTAGAATATAAATTTGACTTAAAATTAAAATAGAATTTTTTTGTTAAATTCGTGAAAAAATTAATACACACACACACTTTAAAAGGGGTCATCACCATTTTTTAAAGGGGGTTTTGGTACATTTGGGATCAGGTCACCATTTAAAAAGGGGTCAGGGACCATTTTTAAAAAATAGGTTACCATTTAAAGGGGTCAATCACTATTTAAAGGGTAGGTCACCATTTAAAGGGGTCAGGTCACCATTTAAAGGGGTCAGGGCACCATTTAAAGGGATCAGATCACCATTTAAAGGGATCAGGTCACCATTTAAAGGGATCAGGTCACCATTTAAAGGGATCAGGTCACCATTTAAAGGGATCAGGTTACCATTTAAAGGGATCAGATCACTATTTAAAGGGATCAGGTCACCATTTAAAGGGATCAGGTCACCATTTAAAGGGATCAGGTCACCATTTAAAGGGATCAGGTCACCATTTAAAGGGATCAGGTCACCATTTAAAGGGATCAGGTCACCAT